TTTCTACCTTCAGTTCAGGTGGGAAGGGTACATCTGGGGATATCTTAAGGTTTCTTTCCTAGCTCCTAGCATGAAAACACACTGTGTTTCTCACATGGCCAGGTCAACACACTGCTGGCAGAAATGATTGCAGGTTTCGTAGGCAACCGTAGATACATGTGCTTCAAGACAAAAACATTACCAAAATCTCCCTTCTTTTATATATATAGTGCTGTAAAATCCCAAGGAACCACTTTATTCTTGTATCACACTTTAGCAAGTATACATCTTATGCTCAAGGAGCCTTTGGATGGGCAAGTGCAACATCCCTGGATTTCTGTGTACAGGGAGCTCTTTGGAAACCTAATGGACAAGCGGGACTGTAATTAATGCATTAACAGGCAGCATTCCTTCCCTGCCTCCACACCAAACAAAATCTGAAAGACTACTGCTTTTCTTCCTTTTATTTGGCAGCATTGGGTGAAATAGGCCACGTGAGTTCTGAGCTGAAGGATCTTCTTCTCTGGGCAGTTCACTATGACGGTGAGGCAGAAGTACGGCGAGAAGCCTGCTGTTGTATTGCCAGGCTCCGCTTGCAGGATGAAAACGTTCAGGCGACTCTGTTAGAGAGATTGGTTCTGGAGCCAGATGAAACAGTCAGAGAGTAAGTCATTAAACTCCACAGCGGCACATAACCACAGTGAACTGAAGCTCTTCTATGGTGTTATCAGTGGCTAGAGTATGTGCATAGTGTGTACATACTTTCCTTCCTAAGGCTGCTTCTTTCCTAATAAACACTGAACAATGACAGTAGAGTAGGGAATAAGAAACATATAAGACTGATCACAAAACCAAGCTCACTAGAAAAATGATCACAGGATGAGAATAGGGAAGATGTCTCCACGCTCCACTGTAGGAGCCCCAAGAACACTATGTAAGAGACTGGAGCTGGAGGCAAGTGCCAGGTCTCTTCTCTCATCCCCCACTGTCCCAATTGTCTCTAGATACCTCCTAAATTTTTAATAGTGAGCATTAATCCTGCCTTCTAGATTGAGCTGCCTAAAGTACATTGCTTTAATCATATAAGCATAATATAAGCATTGATTTACCACCAATGCTTCAGGCATTTGCTTCTCCCTCAACTTTCCTTTTTGTTTCCTTCTCTCTTAAGCTCCTTTATACAATTCACCACTTCTGAAGTCAAGCTCCATCCCACACCAGCACAGGGACACCAGCCTTAACTGCTCTGCTCCCATAGAGCTGCCTCTTTTCTACTCTAATACTTGTGTCACACAAATGAGCCAGGGCACCCACCGAGAGGACGCTGGAGCTGCACCTTGGAGGGTCCGGGTGGTGACACAAGTGGAGCACTCCCTAATTCCTCAAAGAGACATGAGGACACACTGCCATTTCCTTCAGCCTTCCCTGCAGAAGCCCCATGCAGGGACACAGCACGCAAACTGGAGGGTGAGGGGAAAAAAAAGTACTGCCCAGTGGATCCAGGAAGCATGTAATTTTTTTGAGGATCTTTCTTTCCTTTTGAAAACTTTGCTATGAGCAAATAACACATTATTATATTGCATTTATATTTAGAGAAGTGGCAAAGGCTGTGAAGATCCTTAATTTTTCCCATGAGGAAGATCAAGAAATGATTAAAGAGATCAGGGAAAAGGTAAGGAGAACAGCTCTGTTAAAAATGCCCCCACTTTTTTTTTTTTTTTGGTATTCTTCAACTGCCTAGGAACTACATGACATTCAATCTGGTACTGTCATGCCAAGGGATGTACCGGCATAAGGTCACAGTACCCACCATCCAGGAGAACGTATGTGTGCTTTTGAGGGTGTGTGTGGGGGGAATTATCAGTGTTTCAATCACATTTTTTGTCTGTCCTTCAGTCTGTAGTGTCATTTTCAGGATCCAAATTACCCAGCTACCATCACACTCACCTGCCAATGTATTTGATCCAGATTTTCAGGCTAAGCCAAAAGGACTTGGTGACCCAGAAGCTACAGAAACTTGAAAATGTTATTGACTGCCTGAGGCAAAAAGTCAACCGCATTGGTTGGAGCAGAGAGGACCTTGATTCTGAATGCGAGGACATCCTGGAGAAGATCACTGCTGTTTTTCAATCTACCCCTGGTAATTCTAATATGAAGATTTAGAGGGATCTTTTACCTGAGCCGCACCAGTACAGAAGGAAACAGTCCTCAGAGAGGAGGCACTAGCAGTCAGTAGCTCCCTAACAGGCACAGCAAAATCATGTAAGGCACGTGCACTCAGATTCACAAAAGCCAGACTCTGAAGTAGCATCATGAAAGTCAAGGGGGAAACTCACCTTCATATGGAAATCTCTACCACCCTCCATCCCAGCTGCCTTTCCAACCTCCTAAATGTGGCACGAGGAAGAACAAATTGTTTGAGAAGGCCCTATTCAAATTCAGCCCTGCTAGTCCAAATTTCGATGTAGCTCTTAGATGACCAACATTAAATATGTCTCTAAGTAATAGTAATATGGTTGGCAAAACCAGAACTAAGCACCTGCCTTCTCTACTCACTTGAACAACATTTGATTTTTCTACCTAGGTCAAAGCCCTTCTGCTCTTGGATCAGAAACTGAGATCCAGAGCGCTGAACCACACTAAGCAGCAGATGCAAGGTAAGAACAGGAGACAATACTATATAAACAACAGTATGTTTATTTTGTTAAAAAAAAAAAAGAGTTACACTTGCACCAGAGGCTTCTTGGTAGTCAGAATGCCCTTCTCAAACAGAAGTGTAGCTATAGAAATCTTGTCCTCCAAGGTTTCACATGGAAGGCTGTCCACGCTGACGTGGTTCGGATAAGAAGAGAGGAGAAATTCAATACTGTCTGTATACTCAGGATCAATCTCAAGGGACTTGGGCTCTTCTTTATGATACACTCGTGAGTTTTCCGTTGTGTAATACAGCATTACACCGGCCTCCTCATTGCACAGCCTAACGATGCCGTGACGGAGGAGCCGTACTTCTGTGTCTTTCGTTATCAGTATATCGACGTCGCGGGTGCCTCCGTCTTGCCAGCGGGCTGGGAATCCATACACACTCAGTGCCTTCTCACTTTGCGTTAGCACTGGGGGGAGACAGTCGTGAAGAAACGACTTGGCCCTCTGATCTACAGCAGCATCAATAGGTGCATAGCTGACCAGCTTCTTTACCAGGCTCTGCACCTTCTCCACAAAAGCCGTCCGGCGAGCGTCGACCACGTCCGAATGGGCCACCCCCATGTAGCCCAAGTAGTCCATGGGAAGGCCTTGCCGGTACTCCACGTCTTCCTCCAGGGCCATCTGCAGAGCAGCCGGGAGGAGCTTCTCCAGGAGGTCCCCCCAGGAGTTCCTCTGGAAGGATGACACCGTGATGTGGAGTGAGTGCGCGTCAGGGAGACAGTTGCCCTGGTGGATAAACCCCCGGGGGAAGTACAGCAGGTCGCCGGCCTCCAGCACCACCTCCAGCACAGGCTCACCGAGCTCGGCCTGTGTGAGGTTCGCACTGGAGAACTGGGGCAGCACCTCAGCCTCCGTGCGGGGCCTGTAGACACGCCAGTGCTTCTTCCCCTCCAGCTGCAGCACGAAGGCCTCGATGTCGTCATAGTGGGGGGCAAAGCCCTGTGTGCCCGGTGGCGTCAGGTAGGTGTTGGCCCCCGCCATGCTCCCGAAGTGCTCCTGCAGGATGGAGAGGAACTGCCAGACAGTGTCAGAGAAGGCCTGGGGGCAGAGAAGCCGTAGGGAGCACCCGTTCTGGTAGAAGTCCCACACGACGGGAGGCAAGGCCCGTCCTGCAGGGTTGTGCGTCTCCCGCACGCCCTCGGCGTAGCTTGTCACGTCCAGGTGGGTGCCGAAGTGCACGTGGCCGCTGCGCAGGATGGCATCCAGCTCTGCCGTGGAGAAGAGCT